TGGCCTACGTAACCGCGGGAACTCGGCCGGTAGACTGGCGCTCTGATTGACCGGGGTTTTTCGTTAATACGTATCTCGTTGCTAAGGAAAAACTTGTTTCAAATCATCTCACGAGTCTCCCATTTCTGGATCCTCCAACATTTTTGTTACACCGTGTATGTATCTATGTAGTATTGATTTTCACTGAACTACTTCAGTGAAGTTTAGAATTATCCATGAAACTGCCCTTCTTTGAAACAAAATATTCTACAGTAGTATGTACATACAGCTTCCAAGCATTGAAATATCATTTATATGCGAGAAATGATTGCAATTGTTAGGCATAGCAGTAGATATTTGTGTATTGAAGAGGCAAAACTGGCATGTAAAAAAAGAAAACGGTCTCGAAGCATTGGCTGACGGGCAGAAATACAGATCCATGTGGGATTTGGTCTTTATGTCCGAGAAACATAGGAAATTTCTATACAATATAAGTCCACTAGGGGAGACGTTAGCTTCGTTTATCTCTTGTTATCGTCTATCTTAACCGTCACACTCGAAACCGATACCATCCGTTTGTCGGTAATTACCGCAGCAGAAATGAAGTAGCCGGAGTAATTCTTTTGCACTAGATTCAGGTACAGATTATAAGGAGGCTTCGAGAGACCCAGCTCCCCTAACGTGGGACGACCTCATGAGGCCACGCCTCGAGGTAAATCTCATCGCGTATGACCTCCTTAATGTGAGACAACCTCGCAAGGCCTGGCCTCGAGGTACACATTATGGCCTGCTTTACTGTTGCGAATCGAACTACATATGTAATACTGAAAATAATTCAAATTATATTGTGTTTGAACTTATTTCCATGAGGAAAGAAACATCTCCTTAATGTATTCATAACATTTTTCATAAAGTCTATTCAAAAGAGTAAAAGTTTAAATTCTTAACCCTCCGAGCACGGAACCATAGTCACCGGTCCCTATGTCATCTCTGACGCCACATCGATATTCTACTACTACACAGCGACGGCGAGGCTCGAGCTCGAGGCCCTCACCGATATTACTACGCAGTGGCGGTTGCTCGAACTCGAGCTCGAGCCACCGTCACCATGTATACAATGTAATGATTAGCTGGGTCCACATTACATTTGGATTTTCGTGGTTCTTATTACACTAACTAGAATAAAAATCTCGTGAATTATAAAACAAATTATATTTATTAGTCAATACTTCTGCAACGTCTTAGCCCGGTCGTTCGCTTGTAAACAAACATCGGTCGCTATGCGATTTACGCGCAGCTCCGTCACTGCGTGCGTGTCGCTCTCGAGACCGTGTGTCCCCACTCCTGACTCTATCACTGTGTGCATGTCGCTCTTGCGAACGCGTGACCCAGGGACCGTGCTCGGAGGATTGAATGTTCCTCTCTAGTAATTCAATGTTCCTTTTTGTAATTTACTTAACCTTTTAAGTACTGGACTCGCGGGGCGTCCGAAGCCGGATCATTTCTGCCTCACATCGATAGGTTACTAACACAAAGTCACTGTGATTCGTGCTCGAGGCCCTTACCGACACTGTAGAAGTTTTGTCGACTAGAAGAAAGGACAGTGAGTAAAAAAGGAAACAGAGTGATCCGAAGGCGTAAGTCAATACTTCTACGGCGTCCTAGCCTGGCTGTTTTCATACAATGTCACACGTCGATCAGTTCCCGAATTACACAGCAGCTCCACCACTGGTGCGTATCGCTCTTATGACTCCGGCCTCGTTCGCAGAGGGTTAAATAATATTTACAGCAAATCATAAATTAGTAATTTTAACAACTTTTATAGTTCTAGAGATCTCTCAATTAAATGTGTTATTACTCCAAAATAGAAGAAATTAATAGTGCAAACCAAGTTGACAATGTAGGAAGAGATTCCTGTATAGAATTTATTTTCAAACTTCATGGTGTAGTACAAGTTATACTACAGTAGAAGGAGGATAACTCATCTGCATTGCCAGCCGCGTTTTCGTGCAACTACCGAGGTTCTACTGTAATAAGTAACATTTAAGTATCACATTTATCAATTACTTAATGCTATTACCATTATTAATCTTAATACCATTTATCATTTTGTATAAAATAGTGAAGAATTACTAATTATTACCTACGTGGTCAATATACATATGTATACAAACATTAAGGCACCTTAAATAATACGAAATAAACAGAAACATTAGTAAAGTCATAACTAGACTGCGGATATTTTTGCATTTGTAGTATCTTGTAACTTAGGAAATGCACTAAAATGAAGATTTTAATAACGTTTAATACAATTATGTGTTATTATTAACGTAGTAAAGCCTCTGATCAAGAAATAAAACATCTGCTTAATTATAATTTTTAGATATTAGTATCTGAAATTATGAATTTGCATAAACTTCTACAGTCTAGTCATGACAAATTGCACGCGTCTCAGATTAATTATTAAATCTGATTTTGTGGACAATAAATCCTCGATGAATAAAAAGTTTCTCCTCATACTTTTAATGTAGGTTGATATGAAGAGCTATCCAATCTGCATATATTTTAAAAAATTGGATAAATCCACCGTTTTTTATCTTTATACAAAACGTATGTGATTCCACGATAACTAAGACCACGTTTTATGCAATTATAGAATTTGAAAATACGGAAACGGTGATTAAAAAATTAATTTTAATATTTATTCATTTAGTAGTTTACTGGGCAATAAATAATTTTTTAAACATACTATGATTGCTATTACTAAAAATCTGTCTAAAATTGAATTTATAATGATAGGTATCTGTAATCCAATTATAACACTCGATAGATTCGAAAGGTGGGTAGTCATTTGAGCCGTTCACACGCCAAAATATCGAACTCCACTTTTTGAATTTTTCTAAATTTTAATACAAAAAACTCGATTGGTGTTTAGACTTTTTATATTTTCCATTTTTATTTCGTTAGGATGTTAATCACTTTGGCAAACAAACAGCTCATTTATGTATTTATTTCTAACCAATGTAATATACTTCACCACATAAATTTCGGAATTGAAAAAGTAACTTTGTACTTGATTGCTACTTCTATAAATTACTATTTAAAAATGAAATAAAAATCTGGGAACGCGTTCGTAGTCTATTGATAAACGCAGTAAAGGCCATTGAAATTTGGAAAACAAGTGATGATCCGTTTCTCGACGCCATGCAGTGAAGATTCATAACAACGAACAGAATCGATGCCACGTGCAGAACTTATTCGCGGAGAAGGAGTTCCAGTAACTTTCGCGTTTTCGTCAATGATAATTTGATAGTCAGCAGCGAGTTACTGGTTGTCGAGTTAGTGGTTAAGGTCTAGATCGAAAGAACACCGATGAGAGGCGACGAAAAACGATATCTGCTCCGCATTTCGAGTCGAATGTTTAACAACAAGGATAACAGCCACAAATAAAGTACACGATGGGTAAGAGAACAATAATTTTTGTCTTCCAGTATTAGTATGCAGAACTATTGAATATTCAAACGATAACGTCTTTAGTTTCAAATTGAGTATAGGTTACCTTTCCTACAGAAACTTTGAAGTATTCCTCGTTTCTGCTGTTTCGTCTATTCTGTGAAAATAAAACGTGATTTGTGTGGTGAAAATTCTGACACTTAGATGACAGATTTTATTTGAATCGTTTAATATATTAACTACAGCATCAAATTAGCGATTCCTTCTATCAACATCGTGACAAACTATGTATACAATATATATATAACTGTAAATTTCTATGATTAAAAATAAAAATATTTACGCGTTAACAAGTACACTTATTATTTTGATTATTACCGTAGCGCAAAGTATAATTACAAAATTATAAATGATATTGTTTATAAATCCAAAAATTTTTTTATTGATTTCGATAATGTTTAACGTTTAATCTTGTTAATATTTCATTAAAAATTTCCTGTTGTGACTAATTCCATACTGTATAATATATTGGTGTAATTGTTTCTAATCTTATTGTCATTAATTGTTATATATGTATACTGGGTTAATACCCGTTAAATTACTAAATAAATAAATAAATAAATAAATAAATAAATAGATAGCACCGATGGCTCCTGCCGCATTACACAAATTGAAATGAGGGACGCTAGTAACTTTCACAACAATTAATTCATTTGATTAACTATACTTCAAACTACAATTAAGATTACCGAGTATGGTAGCTCGTCCGATTTTGCTCTTCAATATAACATATAGGGTGAGTCCAGTTACATGACGCTTTCATACAATTCGTAAAATATATGCTGTACAATAAAATGTTTCAAACGAAAGTTGTATTGGTTCCAGGGGAACGTGCAGTAATGCAGTCGATGTGTTGTTACTTTGTTTTTTTATGGAGATATGAAAGTCATATTTTAATATATAAGGCCACCGTAAATTTAGTTTTAAACAGAATTGGATACTTCATCCGAATTCAAGAAAAAATATTAAGCATTCGATTTAAAAAACTGAATGTAACCTTCATATCTCGATAAAAAAGCAAAGTGACAATAAATCGATTACAGCATTGGATGTCCCCTGGCAACCATGAAATTTTTGTAGGAAACACTTTTTCTTACAGTAAACATTTACTAATTATTTGAAATCATCATGTTACGAAACTTGTCCTGTAAACGTGGCGAGAGTTAATGACTTAATGATTTAATAGCTGTTCCTGTGATAAGATATCGTAAGATTTCAGATTCACCTGCAATAGAAAAAACGCCGAAGTATTAATGTAGTTACGAATTAAGAATTGTTCTTAAGAATTATGAAATTAAACATTTGGTTATTATGGCATTTATGCTACGATAATTATTTACTAGAAAGAAAAAGTTACATTATTCTATTAATACAAAATAGAATTATATTATGGTGGTGATATCAATATTTTTCAATTCTAAATGATATTTCCTGCAATTATTCATCATAAACTTTTCTTATTAGCATTAATTGTAACATTCGTTTCTATTCTGTCGACAGAACTACAAATTGTGAGATTTCTCTTTGCCATAATGCTCTGCATCGCGAATATGATCATCTACGGCCTCAAGGTCAACATATCCACAGCTATTGTTGGCATGGTCAAAGCTAACAAAAATGGGTCAGGAGGAGATTCGGTTAACGAGTGTGGCTTTGACGTTGCTGAAGGCTCAAGCGTGGATATAGATGGTCCGTTCGACTGGTCCACGACGGAGCAGGGCTTGATAGTTAGCCTATACTTCGCTGGTTATCTCGTAGGAATGTTTCCATCCGGATATTTCTCAGATCGGTGAGTAATATCTAGGCTGTGTACTTCGTTCAGCGAGTCGAGATACCAAATGTAAACAAATGCATGTAATGCAATAAGCAGAATTGGGGCATATTCACAGTTAACGGATAATGTAATTAATAATATATTATTAATAATATAAATACAATAGAATAGAATAGATCCTTTATTGTTTCCCTTACGGGGTACATCTGCGGACTCCCGCTCCGCTTAGATATAATATAAATACAAAACAGTGAAACAAACAACATAAATACCACACAACAAATATAAATATATTACAACAGATATGAATACAAAAAAAAACAAGGAGCGAACAAAGACGAAAACTACAAATGCCTTGACGCGTTCGACAAAACGATATAGCCGTCCCTGACATCAACAGTTGACAATTTGCCTCAAACAATAGCTGTAGTCGCTGCCTCTCTCACGTGCTTTAGCACTCAAATGTTTTGTTTACGTCTGGTGCCCGAACTCGTTCAACAAAATATAGATGAATTTTATGCATTGGTGGCATGTACATGTATTCGAATCACAATATGTATAACAGAATTCTTAACGATATTCACTAAAGCTTTTTATTTTATTTTCAATTTAATAAAACGTTTAACCTTCTACTCCCGAGGGACCATATTTGAAACGTAAAATCAGTGGCGAAGTCTACAAGACTCCTGGAATTTCACATTCTTTATACGTAAATATACGAAATTCTAGACAATTGTTTTTACTATTTTACTTTAGGTATACAGTTTCTTGCGAAATCTTACAGAGAAGGGAAGTACAGTGTATTAATCCTTAAGCAAAAAATTGCCCGAACAAAATTTTGCAAACCACATCTGGTACACGCATATATTGACAGTATTCTATCCTTACGCCTTGCTTAACTTTTTACAGGATTATGCCGTGCTTTTTCCTTTTTCGAAATAAAGCAGCAATATGTGCCGAATATGCTCGTTTTGGATGGTCATCTTTAAGATTATGTCAAAATTGTAAACCTAACCGAATCTTCAAACAATTTGGTTAAAGGATACAGGTTAGCTATCAAGCAACCATGTACTTTCAAGATTTTAACTAAAGTTATTGTATAAATAAGTTCTCGCGATTTTATTCGAGAATATATTCATTAATATGTTAATGTTTCCTTTTGGAATGGTCCGATAATTTGAATCTAAAGGGCTGACACATTTAACCAGAATAAGTATTCGTATCTATGAAATAATCAAAAGTCAAATAATCTATAACAATACGAACTTGCATATACATACATATGTATAATTTAAATACGTACAGTCAGTATTTAATAGGTATAATACTTCGATGAGACGCTGCTAAAATATATTCTGAATCCCTTAGTGAATCTCCAAGAAATGACATGAGAAACACAAGAACATTTTGTTTCAATGGTACGACGTTCATAATTTTTTGTAAATTCAAATTCTTTTCGATGAAACTGAAAAAATTATTGAAATACGAAAGAATACGAAAAATTCTATTGCTATAAATTCCTTATTGTTAAAGATATTATAGTAATATCAGCTTTATTGTTTAAAATGGAATCATATATTTCTACTTTGTCTAGTTTATTACGTTATAAATTCGTAGACCAACACAGAAATGTAAGAATTTATTGGAAATGTGTCTTCTGTATTAAGAATTTTGTAAGGTTGGGAATAGAATAAGAATATTGTCTTTCAAAATTTGATGATCTTAAAGTCAGCTTTAAAGTTTCTTACTTTTGTGTAAGGTTACATTTTATTACGGTTTCGATTCTATTGAAGTTTACATTCATGTGCCACGTAAGTGCAAAAAGTTCACATGGTGTTGATACAATCTTAACACTTCGACAATAGCATACATTCGTCAATCAATTGCTCACTTTTCTACGTACCTCACTTCGTGTTTTTAGTTAAACGTTCTTAACCCTCCAGCCGCGGTCGACAACGAAATCGCGGTCTACTTCTTTGGTTAATTTCTGCAGACCTCTCTGTTATTCAATTCTAAGTTAATGAATAAAAATACTTCCTTTTCCTTCACTCATTTTGATTATTTTTTTGTATTGCATTAAAAGTCTCCTTACGATAACCTATATAAAATATAAAATTCGCCCGCGGTTGGGAGAGAGAAAATAATGAAATACATTAGATGGTGTTCCATTTCTAAACATTGACATGTAAAATTTATTAAATATCATTATTAATATTAGAACTACGAGCGTTGAATGTACACTAAATTAAATTGTATAATATAATAATACATATGACATACAGTATAATTTACAATTAGTATAATATAGTAAAACATAAAATGTAAAGCAGTATTATAATTTCAATAATCGTAAAATATGAAATCTGCAATCCGTCATTTTGACGGGTCTTCTAGTTCTAGTGTTAATAATTTAATGATCTAAGTTGCCATTTCATTCCACTTTGGCAGTCGTTTTCTGAACATACTAAAACATCGAATTCATTGGAAACATTGAAAAATTATACCCATCTATAATCGTCTGTCATCAGAAACAAAGAAAATATTCAAGTAGGCGTTCTAATTCCTATGGGACAACCTGAATAATTTGATCCAGCTACTAACATATTATTAATCTAATAAAGTCTCCTGTGAATAATTGCGAAAATACGAATAACTTCAGCAAGGCCAATCGTACATATTAATATGTTACAGCTTCAATACCAAAAACGTCTTACTGATCTGCGTACTGGCGAATGCCATTTTGACCATATTGGTTCCTGTAGCTGCTCACGTACTGGTTGTACTCTACATTCTGAGATTCCTCGCGGGCCTGTTGAGTGCGGCGAATCTTCCGGTCGTCAACGTACTCGTCGGTAAATGGGTCGTATATGAAGAAAAATCAATGTGGGTCGGAATCATATATGCTGGAACATCATTGGGCACTGTAATATCCATTTTCACTTCCGGATTAATACTGGATTCATTAGGATGGGAGGCTGTTTTTTATATTCAAGGAACATTGCCATTAATTTGGTGCCTTGTTTTTTACTTCTTTTTTGCCGACAGCCCGGAATTACAGAAATACATCACCGAAAAAGAGAGAGAACTGATTGTTAAGTCCTACGGTCACAGAGGTCTCGAATCGGCGTCGATGAGAGTACCGTGGAAACAAATATTCACATCAGTGCCATTCCTGGTGTTAATCGCCACCAACACTTTAGGCAACTTCTGTTGGTATTTTTTATTGACGCAATTGCCTCTATACATGAACAAGATACTCAGATTCGATATTAAATCGGTGAGTCTTTTGTTGAACACTTTATTGAACGTCGATTACGGTGTAGGTACATGGTGTAACCTACTGAGATGGAAACCATAAGGCACATGTGCAGTAGGTTACGTGATCGATGATGGAGATTCGTTGTCGCTCTTCTTGCTGCGTTATCATATCTGCCCATAATTACGAAAGTGGTCTAAGTCATATATTTCTCGTTTCGAGATATTTAATGAATTGCATTTGAATAAATTAAAAAATATTTTTACATTATGCAACATTTTAATTTTGAATTTTATTACTCTTGATTAATGGAAACTTATTATGAATATGAAATTTTGTGTGAATTTCATACGAAAATGTTGTTTTTAAAGTTTGAATTGACTTAGACCATTTTCAAAATTAACTGAATGTCCTATAAATGACTTAAAGCAATAAAAAACTACGAGTTTTATTAGAAACAATAATTTTAATGAAATAATTCATGAACATTTATTAATTATTTTTAAAAAGTAATCCATTTTTATCATTTTAGGCTTTTATCATTATGAGTTTTTAAGATTCTTAAGATGTTCCTGACAAACCGGAGGGATGTATGGTAGTAAACACATAATATCTTTATGTTTTTCTTCCGTTACTGGTCTAGCGGTGGTGTATAATGGAAGTAATTTAATATTTCCGTATATTTTTGGTTTTCCTTTTTTAGGTGAAAGATCCAAAACGTGGAATTTAGAACCATCTAAAGAAGTATTATAGAATATCTTATAAGGTTCATTTTTCAAGAATCTCATCCATTGAATTTGTAGCCAAGAGACATTCGCCCGCGGTATTTTTTACTCTTTTAGTGGTTTCGTTGAAATAAAATCCGGCTGCGACATTCGTTTTACCGAAAATGTATTTCTTCTTCTACACTTTTCTATCAATTCATAATAATGCTCAGGGTTGTATAAGTAATTTGCTTTTTTTATTTTCATTTCTATCAACCCAAAATCACGGTCATTCGGTAGAAAGGAATGACCAGATACCAAAAATTTGTGGTTATGTTCATATAATTTCTTTCAATTTTTCACTCAGACCACTTTCATAATTAACACTAAATGAATTCCATATAATGTTGAAATTACAACCACTATCTAATGGTTCATTTTTCGTAAAAATTACATTGATTTAATTTAGTTTAAAATAATGTGGTGTGAAATAACTGATAAACTCATTTTTTTTTAATTTTGACTTCTTTCATAATTATGGGCACATATCGCATCTTTGTTACAAAAGTGACACAATTCAAAAACATTAATTTCTCAAAAAATACAAAGGTCTGTTGTTGCGTCGTACAACTTATTTAAATTCGCGAATCCTCTGCTCGAATATTTTCTTAATTATTTCATACTTTTGCTTCTTTCAAATTGTATAAACTTTATACTTTTTCCCACATCTGCCACGCATTTTCGATAACTTCCAACATCAAGCAATAGACGACGGTTTCCAACGTTTTACCTACAGTCCGTTTCGCGTGTGTTGGTTCATAACCGCTGACTCGAGGAACAATACGGCCATAAAACCGTACTGTTGGAGACACTCGTAGATTCGACATGGTCAAGAACAATTGTGACCACGTGCTTAATTAGTTTCTCGCGGTCGCTTCGCCCTTAAGAAGAGATATCCACCACTATGCCGACTTTGGAAGCCCAAGAATTATACCTCCTCCTTCAGGGATCAACCAATCATAATTTATAATCTATGAAATGCCAACGATGTTGACCGAAAAATAACATAATTACTCTCTGTCAGTCAACCTATAAAGTCAAAGGATTACACTTTTGATGATTGGTCGAATAGTGTGTTTGCAACATCTTCATAGTAATAATTAATAAAAAACATTTTCCAAGTTATCACTTTTGTAGCAAGGGTGAGATGTATTCGGCCTACTATTACCTCCGATTTTCTTCCTTTTCAGACACACTCTCATCGATACCTGCCACATAATTTTTATGAATGTATTAAACTACACCATGGTAGTACAGTAATTACCCGGTTTACGATAACCGCGTTTATGCTACTTGCAGAAGTATTAACACTTTCTTTCTGTATAGAAGGGATATAATAAAAATTGTTAAAATATTTAAGTAAAAATAATTATTTTTTATTATTCATTAAAAATATATGGATGAAGAATTACAGGAAATATAGTAATACATAGACAGGTTAGGATTGGGAAATCGAAAATATGAAATAATGCACGTGAAAATGTTGATGCTCTCTTTAGATAAATAATTGTGTTAAATATACCCAGTTTTGTTGTACCGTTTTACCACTTCGGCTTTTAGAAGTCAATTGTATTCAAATTTTTGCTTATTTTAATGTTCTTATATTGGTTTCTACGGCTCTATTCCGTATACACAGACGCTAACCATTACCTGCAATATTATTTTACTAATTAACCCTATTTAATAAGTAGACTGCGGATTTTATGCATTTATAGCCTATAAGGCATAGGGAAATACAATCAAAGACAAAACTTTCATCAGGTACTACGAGTTTTATATTTTATTCTAAAAATACTTAAATGAAAAAATAATCCTATATTTGCTCTTGTCTTTTCGAATTATTTTATAAAATCTTATATTGCATAAAAATCCGCTGTTTGTTAATAAATTATTTAGCACTATTATTTTATAGCACTGTATCATTTACTCCAAAACAATTTGGAACGTGAGTCCGGGTTGTTACTGTACATTTGTGAATAGCATACACTCAATGACTCTCAATCGATTGTATTTGCTCACACAGAACGCTGCCCTCAGTTGTTCACCATATCTGATAAATGCAATCGTGAATCCACTGTTAGGAAAAATGTTGGATTGGGGCAGACGAAACGAATACTGGTCACAGACTAATGCTCGGAAGCTAGCTGTATTTATAAGTGAGATATGTATTATTATTATGTCCATTTAATGCAAGTAGTTTTCTTTGTAACTCAGTAGAGTGTCGATTGAATTTGTTTAGAAGGATATACATATAATAGTAGAGGCATATAGACTTCAGACACACTCGTGTGAAGGAAGAAGTACAATTATTATATTATTAGATTGGAAGCATTGTTCATATATTCATATAAAATTCAAAACATAACGAGGAAAATCTTTTCATAATTTTCATTTTCAATCACTGGGACAGTTCCAATACTTAATATCTCTCCTTTAGCTTGAAACTCTTTCTAAATTAGAAGAATCCTCGCTCAAGTTGTTTTACTGGTGTTAATAAACACTATATAAATTAAGACAAGATTAATGTATTTTACAGGCAGCGTTCCGCCAAGTATCGTGCTTATTGTAATCATGTACATCGGCTGTGATCGTACAGCATCGACAGTACTATTGATACTAAGCATTGTATTGTGTGGTGCGATTTTCGTGGGCCATCTTTGTAATCAGAATGATCTTGCGCCGAACTATGCAGGAATTTTAATGGGTATCACGAACACGCCTGGAACGATCTCAGCGTTTATCATACCAGCCTTAGTAGGCGCCCTCATGGAGAATGGAGTGAGTAAAAAGAATACGAATTTTAATTTATCACAGAATTCAGCTGAGAATCAGCTTTTAAGTATTTAAACTTGGATAAAATTGTTAGAAAACATTCGAAAATAATGAAATACAGTTAGACAAATGTATTATTTCGAGATCGCCAAGCTTCATTGAAATATACAAATATGTATGTCGACAAGATTTTATTTTCAGAATAAGGAAATTCTACCAGTATGCAGCATTCACGCTGTATAATGGCCATTGTTAATCGCTCCGTAATATTCTTGACTTTCAATAACAAGACAGGAGCAATCTGTCAACCTACTAGACGATCATAGAATCGTCTTTATTGTTCTCTATAGTCACGTTGCCAATCCTGAAACAGTATACATGTCTTATTCCTTCTCATTTGAAACATATATTTACATTTACCTTCATATCGTGATAAGAAAAGTTGTTAAAAGGAGATGTAATGTCTAATAACACTAACTTGAAAGGGTTTGCAAGGTTTCATAATTTCTACTGTTTCTTTAATTTTTCCAATGTTTTCTCATAGTTTCATTCACTTAACCATAATACAGAACTAAACGAAATATAAGCGGATACTTTTACATGAATAAATTTATATTTTGCTGGGAAAAAAGACACATTCTAAGAGATTAAAAACTACGTAAGACGTCTAAGGCAGGCTATCGGGAGAACTCCTTTATTAAGCAATATTCTTTTGTTTGATTCTTTTGGTAATTATATAAATATCGACAGGAAAGTCAGTAGCAAAGTACAACTTCGAACACAATAGGTACATGCTATCCACAAAAAGTATATACAAAGCGTACAGCAAAAGTGTTCAGTGACCCGGAATGGCATTACATAAGCAGATTGATAAATTAATAAACCATTTCTGAACCAGGAACTTATTACTTTGGAACATTTTTAATTCTTAATACTAAAGAATTTTGATAATGCGTATACCTTTACTCGAATATTGACTCTCAGAATTAAAAAAAGAATGATATGTTAGATATTAAATAATTTTGGCGTCATATTTTGGAAAATTTTGCAAAATTTTGCAAAATGAATTAAGTCTTGGTTACTATATTAATTCTGAAAATACAGTCTCGTATACAATAATCCCCAGATTGGTGCGTCTTGAATGAAGACCGATTGCATGCATTAATCCACAAAATTCTGTCACGGTCAGATAATCAAAAGTATATTAACAATTGTCATTTGTCTTTTATGGTCTAGCACACGATGGCACGATGGCGATACGTCTTCTGGATTAACATTATCGCCCAACTGTTAGCGTTTATTGTATTCGCTTTCGGCGGTTCTGGAGAAATCCAAGAATGGAATAATCCGCAACCTGATGCGTGGAATTAAACAATTAAAAATAATCTAGGATGCTTACGTAATTATCTAAATGCCTATTTCAACAGATGAATGATTTGATAGACCATTATATGGATCTACTGATTGTAGAACTTAGAGAGAGAGAGACGGGGGGAGGGCGATAGAGGGTGAATCTTTCCAGTTAGTGATTTCTGCATGATATTAGAAATAATATTAGCAGAACGACTTCTTAATTTTGTATGTTTCTGGTTTGTGAAGAATGTTTTAAATATCTATTATTATATGCTGTACAATGTTTTGATAAATTTAAATACAATCAATAATTTTGTAAGAGGTTTTTATGAAGATATAACAGTGTATTAATTATTTAGGAAATATATGCATGTGGTATGCTATGAATTAGTTGTAGATTTAGTTCGATATTGTTGCATTTTCAGAACATTCTGAATAAATAATATGTTGTACTGCACAAGCAAAAGTTATAAGAAGAATCGATTCTATGAAGAAATTATACAATCGATAAGTCTTTGATAAGTCCTCAAAAATATTTGCATCTTTTTATTTATATTTTGTCCGTAGTACATATATGTGAATGTGAGAAGTAAAAAAAAATTAGATTTTAACCTTATAATCACTTAATGAGGATAATACTTTATTTTTATAAGTTAGTGTTTAAAAATGTAAATACTGTAATAATGTTTTCCAATTTCTTAAAAACAATTTAAGTAGTTTGAATAGAAATACTAAATAGTAGTAATTTAGTAATGTAATATAGCGTGTACTATTACTACGCAGCACTATAAACACTGAACAAATAGACAGTAATGAAAAAAGAAGCAGGAAATATAACATATAAGAGAAGATATGCATGCATTAAATCTAATGTAATAACACAAGTACCAATAGAAAAAGAGCATAAATAAAATTACATGTATGACACAGTACAAAATTTATTAACTTAATACATATTAATGACTTAAGATTAATATCCTCTAGAAAGTCTCACTTACACTTCTAATCCCATAAAATATTTCATAGAAGCAGTAAATGTCTGCCAACATTCTAATATAGAATTGTGCATAAATTTTGAGTCCACTTGTAATCTTGTGTTCCTACTGCCGCTCCGTTCATAGTAACGCTTTTAAGAATTTGCTTAAGCTTGCATACATATACGCGTTTTTTAATATCTTTCGAAATAAAATAAAATTTTAATTAAGTACAGATGGATCAATGAATTTAGAATCTTAAAGTATTCGCCAGTATTCATCACCGTTATAAATAATTCTCTGCGGCGGTCTGGTGACCGTGAAAATCTTTTGAGTGTCGTGTGCACGATGTATAAAGGGCTGCCGCTCGACTACAGCAATTAGACCCACAAGACCACCCGTAATGATGGCCGACCAATTAAGGGCCACCTGGTACAAAAATCCGTCTTATCCCAATTAGATCACGGTGTTGGCAACCTAGCAGTCCGCGAAACTCACTGCAGCCAAAGGAAGCAGCAAATCTGTGGGGAATGGGGCGGACCGGAGACGTTAACAGAGAATATTTATGGCGGTTGAAATATTACGTTTGTAATCTATTTTCGGGCTATAACCGTCGGTTTGCAGCGAAGTTTTCGTTGAAAAACAGAGAATAACCAAGTTGTTTCCCTCCCGTTTGAAATATTGTCCTAATCGGTGGCCTTTCACTGGATAAATTAGTAACTGTGAAGTTACAGAAAGACAATTAATTCATTTGTAACAATTAGTAGAACTACGTGTAAAATTGCTTTTGTTTTAAAATATTTCACACAGTAATTGTACATACAATTTTCGTCGCTCAGGGTCATAATATTCATGACCAGTTTATACTCTTCCGTAGCTACGTGACCCTTGGTAACATGTACGTTATACAGGGTGCCTCCGAAGGTTATGTCTGTACAAGCAGGCACGAGGTGATTCCCGATAAAAAGATAAAAAAAGAATATAGAATAAAATTGTTTTATTTGAAGGTTCGATTTCGAGGAAATCGACATTGAAGCTAGATATGCGTGCAATTGAATAGGACTCTGCTAACGCGTCTGTTCATTGCATTCAATTTCTACTGTCTACCATAACGAACACGCGTTTCAGATTAATGTTCAAAGTCGATATTCTCGAAAACGAAGTCTCGAATGAAAAAATGTTATTCTATATTTCCGACCTGTTTCTTTCTATACAATACTTCACTGTGATACATTGACATTGATATATAATATGTTAACATAATTGTTACATGCAGAAATCTTTTTTATCATTGACTTCGAGTTGCTTAGTGGCCCAATTTCTTCGAAAATGAAAGAATCACTGTTTTTGTCTGTTATAAATACTTCACTATCACCGTGGCGATTTCATAAAATAGAAAATACTGATTGATATTTCTAATGGATATTCTCGATCTAGAAGTAGTGAAGAATTGTGCGCTGAAATGTGTAAAATCAGTAAAGTATATCCTTGATGGACCAAGTATCAAGTCATTTATTCGATTGATAAAAAATTCATTATTAACTCTGTTGCAATCTATAATACTACCATTTATACTTTGGTTCGGACTTGGTCATTTTTTCGACATTCTTCATTTTTCAAGTCATAGTTTAAATATAACGGATTTTATGTTAACATCAACTACAGTAGGAATGATAGAATAGCAAAATAATCTTGAAATATTCCATATTCCTTTCTCGAAATTGTTCATACTATACATTACAAATATTTAAGTCTTTTGATTTTCATGGGACACATTGTGTAATACAAGTTTGTTGTTAGTTTCAAAATGAATACTGGGATAACCACAAAAGTAATGTCATAATTTTCAGTAAGAAACAGTAGTTATTTTCTGAAAATACAGGAAATTTTATTAAACAACGCTAGATTTCGATACTTTCAATATATCAGCAATCTCGCTTGATTATTACGTGGATTATTTTCAATTAGAGTGGGTATTTGTTATGAATGTCGGTAAGCATGCCAGGTCACTCATCATCGGCCAGAATAAAATCTCCATCAGGAAACTACTTAAATTATTTTGGAACCTTTAGGTCGATTAAGCACCATCGCCATGCACATAGGAAATATCTGTGGTTGTTTATACCACGTTTTTCCATTTCCGGAAATGGTAAAGCATAATTACTCAGAAGCACACGTTGTCATCATTACACTGGTCAACATGATTTTTGTCCCAAAGAACAATTACACTGATTCTTATTTATTTTTTTGTGCTGAATACGAGTCCGTAAACAGTTTTTTGTCATCACCCTCAGTTTCCGAGAAATTTGATTTAAAAAAAAATGCAAATTTTCAACTTTGAACATTTCCTGTCTTCAAACATTAATAGTTATTCAGTTGCGCCAAATTATTCTGTAAACCCTCCCGAATAAAATGGTATACGTTGTTATCGCATTATCAACATTTAAACATGTTTAAAGAACGATCAAAGGGAAAAGGACACACATAATGCACTCATTTTTATAGATATTTTTCAATTTATTTCAAAAAGTAAGGGTGCAGGTCATAATGTGACTGCGTCAGCTGGCAAAAAAAATCTGCAACGCTGGCAGTGGTACTTAAAGGCGACAGTCGAGTGACAGTCGAACGCCTGCGCTTGCCGCCTTTGAGTACCACTGCCAGCGTCGCAGGTTTTACTACTGTTTCGCTCCTGTATTGAACACAAAACGTGTCTGACCATTTCTGTTAATGCTTCCCGGAAGAAAAATGTTTACTGTATCCGCTGACGTTGTCAGATTATGTCCTGCACCCTTACTTTTTGAAATAAATTCAAAAATATCTGTAAAAATTGGTGCATTTCGAGAGTCCTTTTCCCTTTGATCGTTGTTTAAACACGTTTAAATATTGATAATGCGGTATAACGTATACCATTTTATTCGGCAGAGTTTACAGAATAATTTGACGCAACAATCATCTGAATAACTATTAATGTTTGAACACAGGAAATGTTCAGTTGAAAATTTGCATTTTTTTTAAAAATCAAATTTCTCAGAAACTGAAGGTGATGACAAAAAACTGTTTACGGATTCATATTCAGCACGGAAGAATCTATAAGAATCAGCAAGTTGATTTTCGAAGACAAACAAAAAGTTAAACTTTGTTGACCAGTGTTATCAAAACAAGGTCAATTCAAGGAAATTTATTTCGGAGGTACTGCTTTCAGAATATGTACATATTTTACAGAGTAGATGCAGTGCTTTGCATCGGAAAACAAAAAAGTATCACCGACTAACGAAATCCGTCATTACTTTTTGGTGAATCCCATATAAATATTAAAAGACTATGTTTATAATTTAATAAATAATCTCCACTTCCTTATTTATGGAGTTCTGTTTGATTGCGAAACTGAACGCTTTAAAGACGCTTTCCTAAATAAAATTGAATTCCCTTCGGTTCCCCATTTCCGCGTCCTGCTCAATATTACGATTCTTCTGTCGCCATCGTTGACGGTGGCTGGGCCGCCGGCGTCTCCGGCTTCCGTCTGGAACGTCATGCGTGCTGTTATTAAAGGTGGTGATTTATCGCTAGTAATAACGGTGTGGTCCAGACCACACGGCACTCGACGGTGAATGTCTCCCGATGCTTTTCCTAGGGTAGTGAAATAATGGTGTCGGGAGGGTTCAAGACGTCTGATGTTGGATCTACACTTGTACCCCATTCGTCCAATCTCCGCTATTGTTTTCAACATTTCACATTTAAAGCAGTGCACGTGCACATACACTTGTTGCTTTTTCTGGGTTTTAGTGCATTCAGTGTATGCACGGTGTTTCATAATATATGGGACCGAATTCAGAAATGGGCAAGAGATATATACAGGGTGTAACAAAAATGTTGTCCGACCCGGAAATGGGGCACTCGGAGGGTGAATTGGTACAAGTTTTTCCTTAGCAACAATGTAATCTAAGGCTTCGTTACCGAGATATTAACGAAAAACTCCGACCAATCAGAGCGCGAGTTTGCCAGCTGAGTTCCCGCGGTAGCGTTGGCTACAAATCGCAGCACGGA